AAATTTTTATTACAAATGATGAGTCAGGTTATTGATCAAAAACTACTCAAACCATTTGTTTCCTAAATTGGAAAGATCCTTGTTTCTTGACTTGCAATATTCTTCAGCAATAATTTTTAAAATACTATGTTATTTTTGTAGTTACATGGAGCAGATACGAAGCATTTCCATTTGATAGGTCACAGTTTGGGATGTTCTTTAATTCACCTTGCTGTACAACCTGTTTGCAATTTGGGACACATTACATGTAAGTAGAATTTAGTTTCAGAATGCCTTACCTACAGTTACTGAATGAAACATTCAATACTTAGGGCATTTCTTAAGGAATGCGGGGTTTTTTGCTTTAATTTTCCATGATTGTTTTGTTTGATAATTGTTATAATGAGTATCACATCATCTTATGGGTTATTAGAAGAAAAACAATTATGTTTATACAAAACTTCAATTATAAAGACACACTTCATTAAATTATTTATTAATCTAGTCACCATAGTATTCATGATACATAAAGTTTTTACCTCTTACCGATCACTATTTTTATCTCTTATACACTGAAGAGTCAAAAAAACTGGTATACCACGGTACATACAAGGGTACACGTGTGGGCCTTCGGCTCCGAAAGCCCATATCGATGATGTTTCGTTGAATGGTTCGCACGCTGACAGTTGTTGATGGCCCAGCATTGAAATCTGCTGCAATTTGTGGAAGGGTTGCACGTTTGTCACGTTTAATGATTCTCGTCGATCGTCGCTGCTCCCGTTCTTGCATGATCTTTTTCCGATGTCGTATATTTGATGTTTTACCGGATTTCCGATACTCACGGTATACTCGTGAAATGGTCGTACGTGAAAATCCAACTTTCATTGCTATCGCGGAGATGCTATGTGCCATCTCCCGTGTGCCGACTATAACACCACGTTCAAACTCACTTAAATATGTATAACCTGGCATTGTAGCAGCAGAAACCGATCTAAGAACTGTGCTAGACACTCGTTGTCTTATATACGCATTGCCGATCGCAGAGCTAAACATTTATTTGCATACTCATGCCTGTACAAATTTTTTTGGCTCTTCAGTGTATTATCAGATATTTTGGATGTTGTTTTTCAGCAATCTCAATATGGTTGTTCCTATTTATTAAGCTTTTTGAACTTCTTTACACAAGGTTAACAAGGTATGTTTTTCTGCCTTTAAAAGTAAGCAAAATTTGAAATATACTACGGCCAAAGGAAATATTTATTTTCAACAATAATACTATTTGTCTGTGGTATTATTAAAACTCGCTTAAAGCTAATAAGAGATTCCATCCCATCTGAGCAATTCTCATCGTCATCTCATGAGATTTAAACGCAAAAAGTGCCTTGTGTGGTCCAATGAGCGACGAACGGATGAACGATCTTGTGGAGTTCATAACTCTCATGGATTTAAATGTTCTTCATGATGCCTACTCACTTTCCATTTTTGATTCAACAATCAGCCACTGTTGAGCCGCCTCTGAGTTTTGAGCATTCACCTTCCAATGAGGGGAACTGGGTTCAAATTCCAGAGATGTTTGGTCAATAAAAAGTTCCACATCCGGCTTCCACCAACCACAGTGATGAAATGAAATATCCTCAGTGGTTGACGAATCATAAATTAGAGTCCCCTTGCCTTCAAGGCTAATCGTGGGAGGTTCTCGTGATCTTCCTCTCCATGTAACGTGGGTTAGTCCCCCACGAAGGCAAATTTCTCCCAATATTTGATCCAGGAGTTCCCTTGTCTTCTGGATTGAGTTCCGAATAACAAGGCTATGGAGTTGAACATTAGTAGTCGTAAACCCAAAACACTGAGTTGGCTGTTCAACGACGATTATAAAATTAAAAAATAAAATCAGCCGTTGCTGGATCGATTTGATTCTAGCGAATGTTACATTGGATATCAGGGAATGGCAGTTCGTGGGCTGTGAAACTTTTACTGATCATAAATTAGTGACCATGCTCATTGGTTTAGGAAGAAAAGGAATGACTTTTTTTACTCGAATTAAATAAGAAGGTTTGAAACAAATTGAACTGAGTATTACACAAATTGCTTTACAATCTATGGAAGAATTGGCTAAAATAAATACAGAACAGAAGTTTAATGCTTTTATCTCAGAAACCACCAAAGAAATCATCATATTATACGGTTAGTCTAAGAAAAAGATACGCAAAATCTACAAACTAGCAAACAAAAACTCCTTGTGGTGGGCTTAATATTCGTTTATTAAAGGAAAACAGTTTAGAGTTAAAAGAAGATTATTTCAGGCTGAGAACGATATAAAAAGAAAATAGATAATGAAAAAGAAAAATCGCTGTTTTAAAAGGCAATAACAGAAACTAAGAAAGTAAAACTTAATAATTACTTATCGATATAGTGACGTAAGATTGCTTTAGACCTGGCTGTCAGGGGAAAAATTTAAGAAAAAAAGCCATACAGAAGATCTTATAGTCAGATGGAACTCACATGGCGTCGCGAAAGGACAGAATCAATTCAATTCTTCAATGTCAATTTATGCAGAACCTGAAAGACGAACTTCTAGAACCGACCTTATCAAACCATTTACAAAAGAGAAAGTCCAATAAGTTATCAATGACCTTAAAAACAATAAAGCTTTAGGTCCAGATTAAATTCCTCTGGAAATAACTAAAGCTTCTTTCAATATAGAATCCGCATGGTTTACTAAAATAATTAGCAAATGCTTTGAACTTAACTACTTTTCAACAGACTTGAAAATTGCCAAAATTGTACTAACTGGCAAAGATCTGTAATAACCAGACAGCTTCAGACCTATATTTTTACTTCTGGTGTAGGGCAAGAGTCTTGATACGCTATTAACAAAAAGATTAATCATTTACCTGTAAAATAGCAAATTACACAATAAAAGATCAACATGGATTCAGAAAACATCAATTCATCATGTTCGGCCTTAAATTCAGTTTGCCTCATCACTAGAGGGCGCTATTATTCATGTTCTATTATTTCTATTAATTTTGTTGTTCAGTGTGTGTAAACAAAGAGGAATAAAGTTAGATTTAGAAGCGCGTGCTGTTTCTTGTCTAGTCTCATCATCGAAATGGTTCGTCCTAGCCCCAGTACATAATTTTTAAGATGAATGACAATGACACAGTCAACGAAACTTCTAATTCCATGGAATAACATTTAAAAAACCCAAAAGAAAATCCCAACTCAAATCAGAAGCACACCTCTTTTTGCGGGAGATCACAGTCAAACACGGATTCCCTCCTAAAACGTAAGAAAATCATTAAAGGTAAGCTAACCAGATTAATTACTCAAGTAAATAGCTTGCAAAGTCAGGAGATTTTTTGTTTCCAATATCGAAGTTTATCAAAACGATACTGATTCATTAAGTATTGACGTAAATAATTTAAATGATGAAATTCTATTTTCTTGTTCTGATACAGAATTCGATAAATATGAAGAAGAAATGCATGAATTACTTTCAAAAGTAGATACTTTAAAAATTACTTTAAAGAATGAATTAAAAAAGCGTAATGAAGATCACGTTAATGTAAATAATATTGCGTCTCAAAATACATCCAATGCTGATGTAAATAGTTTAAAACTTCCCCGTATAGAGCTACCATTATTTACTTCTAATTATCTTGATTGGATTTCATTTCGCGATTTATTCTTAGCAAGCGTAGGAAATAACAGTTCTCTAAGTAATTGTCAAAAATTACAGTACCTTAAACTCTCTGTTAAAGGGGAATCAGCTACTTTATTACAATCTATTCAAATTACTAATGAAAATTACGAAAGAGCGTGGAATGCACTTAAAGAACGTTATGAATACAAAACAGAAATCATTAACGCAGCATTAAACCGGTTAATTTCTCAACCTAGCTTAAAATAGGAGTCCGCGTCAGGATTACGAAAATTAATTGATACTACTTCGCAATGTATTGATATATTAAAGGTCCTTAAACAGCCTGTTGAGCACTGGAACACTATCATTATTTTTCTTTTAAAAGGGAAACTTGATCCAGAAACACTTCGCGTTTGGACGTTAGAACAAACAAAAAATATCCCTTCGTTCGCAGAATTTAGAACTTTTGTTTTGAATAAAGCTAACGGGCTAGCGTCTTTGGCTCTACGCCAAAAAGAAAAATAAATGCAAACTTTGAAAGCGGAGCCAATCGAAATCGAAAAATAAATAAATCATTTTCATCCCAATTAGTTTCTCATTTTTGTTTGTTTTGCAAAAGTGATACTCATTTCGGATTATTCAAATGCAATAGTTTTATTGAACTTCCGATGAAAGAAAAATGGGATGTAGCAAACAAAAATAAGCTTTGTGCGAATTGTCTCAAATCGAATAAAACTCATTCAATTACGAAATGCCGTATGGGAACTTGTAAGAATTGCGCTCAGCCGCATAATACATTATTATGTTCAAAAAATTCAAATGAAACAAAATTAAGAGCACAGGGGGAAAACGAAACAATTTCTACTATTAGTAGCAACAACACAACTATTCCAGTCACACAAAGCGTTTTATTACCCACCGCTGTTGTTAATGTTCAGGGCGGTGATGGCTCACTACATAAATGCAGACTCCTTATAGATTCAGCCAGTCAGGGCACATTCATTAAGGAGAGTTGTGTTAATTTATTAAAGTTAAAAAGAAATCGCGCGAGCATCAGTGTTGATGGCCTAAGTTCACAAAGAGTAGGTAAGGTTACAGGTTCAGTTCAACTACACATTACATCATTATTTTACAAAAATGCTAATATCACAACAGAAGCTTTAATTATACCCAAAATAACTTGTGATCTTCCTCAAACAGAGGTCAATGCGTCTGTTTTAAATTATTTTGAACAATTAAAATTAGCAGATGCAAATTGTCTCCAACCTGAACCTATAGATATTTTACTGGGTGCAGAAGTTTTTGGCGAAATATTGCTCAACGGACGTTTAACTATTCCAGAACTTTCATTAACTGCTCTAGAATCCATTTTTGGATGGGTTATTCTGGAAAAACAGAAAGCAAGTCACCTATCAAAACACTTACAATCATAACAAATCATGCTAGTTGCAGTGAAGCTGAATATCAGCTAGATAAATTCTGGAAGCTAGAAGAAATTACAGAAGCAAAGTCCTATTCAGAGGAAGAAATTGCATGCGAAAATCATTTGAAAGAAACATTTTCTCGAGACTCCACTGGCAGAATTGCTGTCAAATTTCCCTTTCGTGAATCATCTGAAAAACTTGGTTCATCAAGGAATTTTGCTATTCATCGTTTGCAACGTAGGTTTGTCAAAAATCAGTCACTTTCTATGCAGTATCATAAATTCATGCAAGAGTATTTAGATCTCGGACACATGGAATTAATACCAGAAACGGACATTGACATTCCAGCCACATCTAGTTTTTATCTCCCTCATCACCCAGTTCCAAACAAAATCGGGGATAAATTCCGTGTTGTTTTCGATGGTTCTGCAAAATCTTCAACTGGTGTTTCACTTAATGACAAATTGATGGTAGGACCGCAGTTGCAAGATGACTTAACAACATTGCTCATAAGATTTAGAACACATAAAATTGCTCTAACAGCAGACATTGAGAAAATGTACAGACAGGTTATTTTGAAGGACTCTGACTTTCAAAGAATCGTATGGCGTAACTCACCTTTTGAGCCTATTCAAGATTATCGACTCACTAGAATCGCCTACGGCACAGCTTCCACGCCTTATCTTGCTACAAAATGTCTTCAACAACTAGCAGCAGAAGAAGCAGATAATTTTCCTTTGGCCTCCAATGCAATCATGAAAGACTTTTACGTCGACGATTTAATGTCTGGAGCTGAGACACTCAGTAAAGCTCATGAATTACAAACACAATTAATGCAAATGTTATCAAGCGCAGGATTCAGTCTGAGGAAATGGGCATCAAAAAGCAATGAATTTCTGAAGACAATTGATGCAGACTTGTGCTTGAAAAATACATCCCTTGACCTAGACAGTGAAAATATCATAAAGACCTTAGGTGTTCTTTGGAACCCAGCAGACGATGTGTTCCTTTTCAAGATTACTCCAACATCCTTTGAAGGTACCTTGACAAAACGCCTACTTCTTTCCACTATTGCCAGAACATTCGACCCTCTAGGTTGGTTGGCACCTATTACAATTAAATGCAAGCTAATTATGCAAGAACTGTGGAAGCATAAATTGCAGTGGGATGAAACGATCTCTCCAAACATCTCACAAGAGTGGACAAAGCTTGCAGAAGATATGATGCTCGTAAAAGACATCAAAATACCAAGACTCTTGTCACCTAACAAGTAATTTCAATTATTTGGTTTCAGCGACGCTTCAGAAAAGGCTTACGCGGCTGTCATATACTGTCGCTCAGTGCTAGATGCTAAACAAATCAGTGTTCAACTTGCTGTATCCAAAACAAGAGTTGCACCACTAACGAATGAATCTCTTCCAAGACTAGAACTATGCGGAGCTTTGCTTCTAGCCATATATGGCAGTACTTTTACTTTCATTACTTGTACCACCGGTACAAGTAAAAAGTACGTACTTTTACTTGTACTTCGTTACTTTTTAAATTTAGTACTTTTACTTGTACTTTCGTTACTTTTTTTGGGAAAAAGTACAAGTATTTGTAACGGAAATGTCGAATGAAATCGTTACTTTTTTCTAAAACTCGGTAAGCTTTCTAAAAAAACTTTTTTTTAAAAAATGCAGTCAAAATGCAATTATCTTGCAAAATGAATAAAAATATTAATTAGCAAGTTATTTTCATTCATTTTCGAGTTTTATGCATTTATTTAATACATTTTAAATAAAAAATGTTGGATTTTGTTATTACGTTTTTCAATTTTCTTTTTGAACTCACTAATAATACATTTTTGTCTTAATACATTTTTTACTAAATACATTTTTACCTAGTACATTTTTTACTAAAATTATGTTTATGCCCGACCTTGTCAAACAACGCCCAGTCAAATCTCTAAGAACTTCAGAACTATTTGTGCTACTGAAAACTATTATAATTACTATTTTAACTCTTGAAAACTCGAAGGTATTAATTTAGCCGCTGATACTAAAATTCGTTTACAAATTTTAATTATTCCGTTAGGCAGAAATGTTCGGAAAATGATTTTCTCGCATGACTTCAGCATTAGCCATTGTTACAAATAAAACTGTAGACTGTTCTGTTTCAACTTATACTGCACATTCAATTATTTTTTACTAGCTCAAAGATCACAAAGCTATCTGAAACCCCGTGTTTGCTTTGTTTATGTTTGTGCTTTTAAAACGCGTTTCTATAGAGTAAAACAATTTTAAATCAATGGTAATTTAAATAAATAAAAATAATAAACTAAAAATTAAAATCAATAGATAAAATTTCTTTTTCGTGCAAATCCATAAAAAGTTTGATATTAAAATTATATTTGATTTTAAAATTATATTATACGATTATATTATAAAATTATATTATAATATTCTTCCGAATTTAAAAATAAATTAATGTCCATAACTTTCAAAATTAAAAATAATTAAATAAATAACAACAATTTTGCAAAAACATTAAAGAACATAAGAATATTATTCAATAAAATTTTAGGTTACTTTGAATTTTCGATTTCCTAGAAATGTACTTTTAAATCGTTACTTTTTTTGTTTAGTACTTGTACTTTTACTTGTACTTTTTACTCGTTACTTTTTAAAATAAGAACTTTTTACTTTTTACTCGTTACTTTTTTTAAAAATACTTGTACTTTTACTCGTTACTTTTTAAAAGTAACGTTGCCATATATGCTTCTAGCAGAGCTGATGAAATTTACGTGCAGTGCATTAAATTTTCCAATATCCCAATCTCACTTCTACACAAATTCAACTATCGTTCTTTCTTGGTTGGGATCGCCATCCAGCCGATGGAAAACCTTTGTTGCCAACAGAGTAGCAAAGATCCTAGGCTTATCTTCCCCAAATCAGTGGCATCACATTAGTGGTGATACAAATCCAGCAGATATAGCAACCCGTGGTGTGTCATCATCAACATTATTCACATCTCAGTGGTTTAGTGGTCCAACATTTCTGTATCAACCGATTTCTTTCCAAACAGATATGCTCATATCTCAAATGTGTGAGCCTATGCCTGAAGAAAGAGTGTGTACTGTGCAGTCAATTGCTACAATCAGCCATTCATCTGAACCAAATGAATTGATAAACAATTTCTCCTATTTCTCTAAACTTAAACGTGTAACAGCATATTGTTTAAGGTTCATTCACAATTGCAGAAACTCCAAAAGTAAGGTAACTGGTTTTGTAAAAAGTGATGAACTTAATAATGCTATGAATGTATTGATTAAATTAGTTCAATCTGTTGAGTTTAATAATGAGATCAATGCTCTCCAAAAAAATCAACCCTTATCTTGCAAAAGAAAAATTTTAACTCTCAATCCCTTTTTGGATCATTCAGGTATTCTGAGAGTGGGAGGTCGCTTGCGACATGCAAATATCGGATACGACCAAAAACATCCCATCTTACTGCCAAAAAGGCATACCTTAACTGATCTCATTGTTAGACATTATCATCAAAATTTATTACATGCTAGTGCTCAACTTGTACAATCTTCCATTCTGGAAACTTTTTGGATCATGGGTGCTAGAGATATTATCAGACATTTAATTAGAAAATGTGTTAAATGTTGTAGAATTAGAGCATCTGTCACTAACCAAATGATGAGTGATTTGCCATCCAGTCGAATTTCTCCAGCTCCTACATTTTTACGATGTGGAGTTGATTATACAGGCCCGTTCCAAATTAAAACAACTAAAGGACGGGGCTTTAAAACATTCAAGGCATATATAGCTCTTTTTATTTGCTTTACAACTAGAGCTATCCATTTAGAGTTGGTCCCTGATCTTTCTGCAGATGCCTTCATTGCAGCCCTAAAGCGATTTATTTCACGTAGAGGTAAGTGTAGCGACATATACAGTGACTGCGGGTCTTTTATTGGAGCTAAGAGTAAACTAATGGAATATGAAAGACTAGCAAATTCAAAGGGTTATAATCAAAATGTTGACAAATTTTTGTCTTATATGGGTATACGTTGGCATCTAAACGTGCCCGGCGCTCCTCACATGGGGAGCCTATGGGAAGTGGGCATTAAATCCACGAAATATCATTTAAAACGGGTTGTGGGTGATATCAAATTAACACACGAAGAATTTGAGACCCTCTTAGCCCAGATCGAAGCTTGTCTCAATTCTCGACCTTTAACTGCCTTATCTTGTGACCCTAACGACCTATCGGCCTTAACACCAGGTCATTTTATAATCGGAAGACCATTAACAAGCATTCCCGAACCAAATTATACCGAATCTAACATTTCTTATCTTACAAGATGGCAGATAATTCAAAAAATGGTACAGTAGTTTTGGAAACGTTGGCACAAGGAATACTTGTGTAGACTGCAACAACGACCAGAATGGATTTTGCCTACTAAAAACATCGAAGTTAATGATTTGTGTTTGTTAAAAGATGATAATTTGCCACCTACCAAGTGGAAGATGTGCTGAGTAGTTCAATTACACCCCGATATTGACAACCATGTTAGAGTTGTAACTGTTAGAACATCAGATGGCATATTTAAAAGAAATGTAACAAAATTGTGTCTCTTACCAAAATAAGCAGAAATTTATACTATTTGTAATTTGTACTGTCTTTATTTAAGTGTATTCATGTAAACAATTCATTTAATGTCTTACTGCATTTGTATCACATTTAAGAATTTTGAAATAGTATTTCAAGGTGGGCGGCATGTTCGGCCTTAAATTCAGTTTGCCTCATCACTAGAGGGCACTATTATTCATGTTCTATTATTTCTATTAATTTTGTTGTTCAGTGTGTGTGTGTAAACAAAGAGGAATAAAGTTAGATTTAGAAGCGCGTGCTGTTTCTTGTCTAGTCTCATCACATCACACCATCTATGAAAGCAGCAAAATCTGAAAGCACGTATTCAGCTTTGGAAATGAAGGGAGCTTTTGATAGCGTGTCGTATGGAAACATTTAATTGATGGATTGAATTGGATGAGATCTACAAACACTTTGACAAATCTTATTTGAAGTTTTCTCTTCAGTAGTCATATAATTGGTAATGAATAGATTAAATTAAAGCTATAAAAAGGATTGCCTCCAAACCTCCGCCTGATTCTGTGTCTTTTCATTGCAGACACCATCTTAATCAAAGAAGAAGACCCAATAACAATTACTGCAGACTTTGCTGACGATTTCTTAATTTTGATTTCGAGAATAACTTAGCGACCGATATACTCAAAGTATATGACAACTAGGCAAATTACCAAAATATTAAATATAGCATACAAAAAACCAACCCAATAATTTTCCCAAATAAAAACCACATTGCAAGAAAGTTCATAATTAAATTACAACCACTTAGAATAAAAAATTTGCCATTCATAGATTATTTGAGATTTAAACTCAACCGTCGGCTTCCCGGTTTGCAACATCTACATAAACAACACACAAAAATCATTAAGCTTCACGCTAATCTTATTAGGAAATTTGTGTAGATTAGACAGAAGTTACTTGGGCTTATTACAATAAACTTTAAATGTGTGATTTTTAATAAGCATTCACTATTCTAGACTTATTTCAAATTGTCAAAAATAAACCAAGATAATTGAGCAATGAATTATCATGGAATGAATTATAATTAGCCCGAGGCTATGAAGTTTCACTGCAAAAGCCTAAGAAGTGTCAGACTGTTTATAAAATATTGAACACATTTTAAATTTATCTAGCACAAACAACAGCGGATGCTTGAAAAAACTGGGTTATTCAATTAGCCTCCTATATTGTAGTATTTCTACTATATTGTGTTGCAATGAAAATTTAAATCTTTTGCCTGCTGTAGTTCATTTATATCCGAACTATCTTAAACAAAAGCACTAAATTCGTCTTTTAATTTTCTATAGCGAAAATAATTGTTTGTGTTTAACTCAAATTCAACAATAATTTACACAAGTTGTAATGATTAAGATGATTTTATTTCATCGTGGTTCAGTGGTAAAAGTAAACTGAAACTTAGGAAGTGCAGAAAAAATAATAATAAATTGTTTGCGCTCAGCGCCATCTGGTGTTATAAATCTTGATAGCAAAATCATCTACACTCCCCACTCGAACTCCTCCGAGTTCACTAAAATTTTAAACATAAAAATATGACAAAAATAACATAAACATATCAAAAAAATAACATTTAAATGCAAATAAATTTGAAATGAAATGCAAATATTCACTTGAAAGAAAATAAAAAAAACATAAACTATTAAAGTTTATCATTGTGCATTTCAGCCATTGAGTTCTAAAGGATAAATAAGTTGTACTGGGCGTTTATATTCGCCGTTGGATTTGCGAATAAGGCAAGATCTTACAAGTCCATCACGCCCTTGAAATACTTTTGTTATAATACCTATGTCCCATAATAGTTTTAATTTTATGGTGCCCTCCATCATAACCACATCTCCCACTTTCAAACATTTTGTTAGGTTAGGAGAAGTAAAGTTGTGTGCAGATCTCAAATTAAACAAACAGCGCTCCTTCCAGCGCTTCCATAAATTAGCTAATAATGTAGCCTGGTATTCTTTTCTTTTATAAGAATCTTTTTGGTGGATTCTCTATGGATGGTTTCTATGAAATGAGCTGGATATTCTGCCCTTTCTTTACCAGAGGTTAAAAACTGTGATGGGGTAAGAATTTCCGGTTCTCCAATTTCGTTAGTGACGTAGGACAAGGGTCGAAGATTAACGATGGTTTCGATTTCAGTCAATATAGTGGTCATCTCTTCAAAATTTAAAAGAGTTTTTCGAAGTATTTTCTTTAGATGCTCTTTGACACTTTTTACCAATCTCTCATAAAATCCTCCCCACCAGGGGGCAAGTTGGACGATGAATTTTCAGGATATTCTTTTAGCAGCAAGAAAGTTTTTGAATTCTGAATTTACCAAAATATCAAATAGTCTCTGATGCTCTTTACCGGTACATTTAAAAGTCTTGGCGTTGTCGGAGTAAATTGTATGACAACTACCTCTTCTAGAGAGAAATCTTCTGAATGCGAGCAGAAAATTTGAGGTAGACATGTCTGTGACTAATTCAAGATGGCTCTCATGACTGCACATGTGAACAAGGCTATATATGATTTCTTTATTCCATTTTCACCCTTGATGTAGATTGGTCCGGCAAAATCAATTCCGCATACAGTAAAAGCAGGAGTTTCACTAATTCGATCTTTTTGAGCTGTCCAGTCATTTGGGTAGAAGTCTTGGCTGTGTATCTGCGACAAATCAAATATTTCGAGACAACCTTTTTTACTAATTGTCTTCCTTTAGGCACCCAAAATCTTCTCCGGATTTGTACTAGAGTGCTCTCTACTCCAGACATTTCCAGAGATTGAAATACATTTTCGTGTTCTCGCTTGACAAGCAACTCTGCAAAATTAGACTGTCTTTGTACAATTATAAGCTTTTTCTCATCAAAAGAATAATCTCCTTCGTCCAATCTTCCTGTGATTCTCCGGATACATTTTTCATCAAGATAAGGAGCTAAATTGAAAATAGTAGAAGAAGCTGGAATAGGCAAACTAGATTGGAGAGCTCGTATCTCACTTTCAAAGAATTTTGCTTGAGTAAACTTTACTAGTATATCTTCAGAATTTCGGAGCTCTTCTGCAGTCAAAGTGTCCATATTCGGCTTAACTTTCTTTAAACAGTTCAAATATCGCACTACCCACGCTATGATTCTAACAACTTTTTCGAGGTTGCTAAAGTTAGCGATATTTATCAACTCAAGTTCTTCACCATCTACACATTTCATAACGGTGACTTCATTTTTACGATACTCAATTTGTTCATCATTTTCTTTGAGGAGTTTCAATTCTGGCCACATTTCGGTCGGAAGGGACAACCTTCCACCAAATGTCAGAATTCTTCAATATACTCATGGAAGTACCTCTACTAAGATCGGCAGGATTGTCAATTCCGGGGAAGTGGAACCAGTCCTTAAGTTGAGCAATCGTCAAATACAATCCTTAATTTGCTAGTTAGTTTATCGTTTCTTATAACAGCCCTATGAGGTAAATAACATTGTTTATAATTTTGGGGGTCAGTGTTTTTAACTTTCTCAATTATCCCTTCATTCCTTCATCCTTTCGTAAGTTTTTATAACTTTTTTATATTCTTCAAACAAGGATTTATCATTTTTTAATCTCCTCTTTAATTTGTCAAACCTCTCTGAAGCCAGCTCAAAGTTATCATTTAAGAAATGTTTTGTATTAGGTCTCCAGAGAAGTCGTACACTATACCTATTATTTTCAAAATGTAAATCAGAATTAAAATCTTTTAACAATTCACTTTTATTATCAACATTTTCTTCGTTCATAGTATTTATTCCTAATCTTTCAAGGTTCCAAAACAAAGAATAATCAACATCAGATATTATAGTATTGTTTACAATCCTACTTAATTGGCAATTATTCATGAATCTCCCTTGAACCACAAAACCAAATAAACTATCGGTTGCAACGAGTCCTTTTCCCAGCCTCAAAGACGTATCAAAGATTACGTCATGTAGGAAATCGGCGCCGATCAAAATGTCTATATCGGCAATTTCTCCGGTATCAGAAAGAAAAATATTATTTTCCCTTGCTAATTGTTTAATTCTCTCATGGGGTGTGGCTATTTTCCCACACGTTATTTATTCTACTACAAATGCTTCAATGCAAACAAATAATTTTTAATCGTTTTTGTTTTGAAGATTCACTTTCACTAAATCGTAAGAACACCTCTTTTAAATTTTTTCTCCAAGACCGAAAACATGAAACCGTTCAGTTTTAATAGTTCTGAGGTTCAACTCATTACAAATATCACGTTTCAAAAAACTGCGATGGCTACCAGAGTCAAAAAAAATTCTAACCAACTTCTTTACATTACCATAAAACAAATACGCTAAAGAAGTCTGTAAATTGATCATTTCATTTTGAAACACATGAAGTGGTAACAGATGCCAAAGTATTGTTTTTCTCTTTCGACTCATTATTTATTGCTGATTTATCACAAATTAATTCGCTATGCGGTTTCTTACATAATGTGCAAATACATTTATTCCAACATTTTTTGGATGTGTGATATTTCTTTAAGCACCGGAAACAGCGAAATTGATCTTTAAGTGTTTTTCGATGGTCAGAGAACAATCTTTCGATTCGTGATTTTTGGAATTATAAAACAAACAAAATATGTTGTTAGATCCCGAAACTAACGCTGAGAAAGATGAGAACTTTCGATTATAATTATGTTTACTATGACTCTCCGACCGTTGCTGTGTTTCGAAATGAACACTTTGTTTTTTAGAACTATTAGACA